TAATACTCTATGCCATACGCATCGAAGTTTCTGGTAATGATGTACAGCTGTATGTTGATGAAACCGACGGCTTCGGTCGTGAGCTTAAAACGATCAAGTGAATTCGAAACCAAGTCGATATCACTAAGCTGTTGCCCTCCACCCAAAAAACGAGTCACTAATTCTTCCCTGAAGCTTCCTACAACCCTCCAGATTGTACATTTGACGTCATGTTCACCGGGAACCGGAGGAACGTGCGTAAATCCATAGCCAACAATGCTGTACCTGTCGAAATCGTCTAAGTGCCATACTTCAAAATGAACTTTGGGCCAACCTGCAATCGAAAGTCAAATTTCGAATGTATGAAAAGTCATGAAATACAAATTCAGACGGATATTGTATAAAGAATTGAATAAACGCATGCACAAAATCACCATCATAGAGGTAAAAAATACTAAGGATCTCTGAGGAAGAACTCAACCTGTTGAACAAGACCTGCATTTATCCTCAGATAGTAAGCTGTGGCACGGGACTTAGAATTCGCCCTATACCCTCCTATCTATCATTGATACCTATTTTCATCTAATTGCTAGCTAACTTCCATCTAAGTAATAATGACCATAGATGCCGATTCCATATAAATGTCTGACGTTTGTTCATCGAATAAATGTTAATTTGTCATCACTTCCAGCCATTAGCAAACCCCATGCTCATGAGCTATCGTGTTCTTCCGGGGGAATAATGACAACAGTTCATTTCTTTTTGTTGAAACTGAAAAGGAGTCTTGCTTCGCCAATAACGCAATTTGTAGTTCATTTGATATGCTCGAACTTACGATTATCACAGTCGGTCATGCCGCTCATTCATAATGCCTGGATCAAGCATTGGTCATTGACTGTGTCACCTCTGCTGAATTTTTCCCCAAGAGTGAATGCCGCGCTACTGAGGCCTGATTATAGTTCTTTTTTATCCGCCCAAGTTACCTACGGTGTATGCCTTTGAGTAGAAATTTAACCATGAGAATTGAGCGTTTGATGATGTTCATACGCGGGAATGGACAATTTACATTTCTGTATTATATTCGATATTCACCTGGTACGCCGGCCTGGAGAATAATTCGCTGTTCTTTTGTGTTATAGAAGAATTTTTAACTAATGTGCCTTGCTTTCCGAAGTAAGTCTTAAGGTAACAAATAAGCAAAAAGAGAGGAATGCTTGGAGCCCTGGAATACTCGTTTTATAACACCTCCGTTAGCCCACCTTTGTGCTATGTAGTCATTGAAAGTCAGTTCGACCTTGAAACGTGACGACGCCGTGATGAAACGTAAAAACAGCTTATCCTTTGGTGACTGAAGATATTACACTCTACGAAAATCATTGGATTGTGAAATTATTACAGGCATTTCACATCATATAGATCGCTGCATAAAAATTTTTTTGTTATTAAGAAATGCGCACAAGTTTTGATCATGTGCATTATGAAGCTTTCACGCACGTTGCACAAATCAACGTCCACATTCTCTTCTGCGTAGTTTTCTGACAGTGACAGCTTTCCACCATTCTCGATCTCACAGAACTCTCGAAAGTAATTGTATAACTGAACGACGATACAGTTCGTTTGAGCTGACTCACTCTGCAATTGATCTTTGTCTCAGCATGCTGAAAACAAGCTTCAGAAATCTTTGCCCACAGTGACTTGAGTCACCTAACAACGACTTTATAAAATGCCTTTTCGGTTTGATGGCCAGCACTGCAATTCATTTCGCTTCGTAATTGGTGCTAGTGATCTCGACAACCAAGAGAGAGATTTCCCGTGGTACTTTATAGTCATTGATATGTAATCCTCTGCGTAACCTTCACGCGGCCATAGTGATCCAAGTAAGGCAAAAGGCAACTGTAAGCAAAGGGCAGGGCGTACTCCGTTTCTGAGGGAGGAAAGAATGGGTGTCTGCAGTCTACGCCACTTAGAGTAGATAACACGAAAATTTAAGAACTGTGAGAAACATTCGTCTCATATAACATGACTGGTCCCTTGTTTCGTTGATGATGAGCCCAAAGCGCTTCAATATGCGGACATGTTAAAATGATGTGCAGCAACACCAATGAGAGTATTATCTTGGACCTTGCAGTACATTTGGCAAATCTCGGTTCAAAACATTTCTCATTGTTGATTATGCTGTCTTTTGTCCATAACCATTCAACTACCTCTTCTACTGTGCATTAGAAACCTTGGAGGATGAAGTAATCATAATCTAATCACCACACTCAACTGTCTTGTCATTGGAGGCAGATACGCGACAAAGCAGCATACAGAAGTACAGAAGACTTGGATTCGTCCTTAGGACAATGCTAGGGTTTGCTATGCGCTGGGTGAATGTTCCTTCTCCAACAAGGTGCCTGGAGTGTTTAATGTTTCAAAGAATGACCATTAGGAGGAAGGTTGCTTGTTTCAGAGAAAAGAAAGAAAAATGAAATTTTGTAACGAGTTGGACACGGGTCTTTTTAATCCTTCCATGATACTCATCATCCGTGGAAGTATACATTCACGCAGCAAACTACGTGGTATTTGCGTTACGATGCCAGTAGTCAGAAATGCCTCGTTTTTAAAGGCTGTGCCTACACCTAGACGAGCTCCAAAGCGTATAAATATGTTTCCATCCTACATCTTGGTACGCAGTTTGGTCCTTTTGCCTCAGAATAAAGGCTAGTAACTAAGCTTGAACTCTAACTGACGATTTTTTGACCATGAGCCTGGTGCTCTGAAATGGAAAAAACGAAAATTTCTAGCGGTTGGAAAGTTTCTCTACCTTATACTTATATGACGGGGTCGTCCCTGATAACCTTCCACTCATTAAGTTACTGGTAAGGTGTCATTTTAATGCGATAAACCAGTACCGCCCTATGTTTTAAACACAGAGTCGATATCAGCTCTGTGCCATCTGTAGTGTACAGTCTCCTAATTCCTTTCCACGGAGTAGTAACCATTTATCAGTTTCAGAAGCATGAAAGGCGAATGTTCATACCGGGATCGAATCTAGGACCTCTCGATTTTGACTGTGGCACTCCACCAGCGGACTACCCTAACGGACAACTAAAATCGAGATCATCTTTAATAAGGAAACGGGTAAACTCTATGTAACGTTGAGTTAACTATACTGTCATGCCGTCATGAGAATATTTAAGCAAAAGGCTAAAACTTCTTCGACGATTTAAACTGTCATACATGGGAAAATCCCACAACGGAGTTTGAGGTAGACACTGACTATCGACTGCTAAATCCTGCATATTCCAGAGAAAGCTCCTTTGGTATATTGGCATTATCCTGGAAAATATCTTGTAATACAAAAGATGGCAATAGATCAAAATATCGCATGGTGGCGGTCATTGAATTCTAACCGTCACATCACTCGTGTCGACCAAAAGCGTCAAAACTGATTCTCTTCGAGTACTTATTGTTAGCTTTACAACTCATAGTAAGAAATCAGAAATCTAGCGGTAAGTGCCATTTTAATACTTTCAGTGTGAAACAGTTTCGCTCTGTCGTATCATTTTTCTTGTTCTTATCACATCGATGTTCACTGGCGCAACGTAACTTCTGTTAAAAAAACATTGTTTAAAAGAAATCCATTTCTTTGCTAATCGTAGTCGAAAAATTACTGCAAGTGGATCAAAGTGGGAAAGCCATAGAAAAGTCTGCCATTTTAGGTGACTCGGCTCAATAATCTCCAGCAATGTTACCATGCAGTCAGATTATATTGGAGCATTGCCGTCGTATTCAGTAATTTTGATAGTCTGTCGAATACTTAAGCTGAAAAAGGAATGACCCTATTCATGAAAATTTGTTTGTTCGTTGCTTTTTTCAAGACATGTTGTTTTACAGCATGGACACAGCTGCTATAAAGAACGAGCAAGAATGACGGTTTGACTGCATGCAGCAACTTTAGCTACAAAGCATAACAAAGGTTGAATGACAAAACGAAATAATGGGTGTCTCCCTTCCCTGCACAGGTAACCTTAACAGACATGAAAATTAAAAAAACTATATTGGCTTGTCGAGCAAACATGTTGAGCAGAAGCCATTGATATCAGTCTGAGAGTTTTAGCTGCAGGAGTACGCAGACGTTATTATGAAGGCAAACATGCGACCTTATGAAATAAAGGGGAAGCAAATTTGCTTGCAGAGTGGAATATTTCCTTCCGCAATGCAACAACCGGTTCCTCATAGTAAGAGTGTAGTAGGTGTTCTGAGTTAACTGTAATCACAACCAGAGACGTTCTGATCATGCAATAGGTCAAGCCGATGATCATACACATTCGACAAATTAATCGCTTAAATAATCCATTTATTCAGAAATTATAAATTAATCGCTTATTCAGGAATTGCTAAGCTCAATCTTGAAGGGAACGCATCTACCTTTAAATAAAATTATTAAGCAAAATGCTCTGAAAGTAGAGACGAAGAAGCTAATAAATGAAGCATATTTTACATGATTGTAAGGAATGAACGACCACGCACCTTGAATAGACTTTGTTGTCAGGTGAACGTCGACTGGGTGTGCGAAATTGCAACATTTTCCTACAGCCGGCTTGTCGGTCTGAGTCTGTCCAGTCGTGGCTCCTTCCAGCAGACGCCATCCTCCTCCTTAAAACAGACCATTTATGGGAATATAGAAAAGTTTTGAAGAAACCGTATTTCAAGGACCAACAGCAACACAGGTTTGACTCTTTGAATCCCTCTCCGCTGACAATTTGTCCGATAATGTGTAGTTCTGCCATTGGCCGCTTATTGAATATTGATGCGTTGCCACTTTCTGCGTGTCGTTGCTAGGCGCTCTCATTTTAACATGAGAATCAACTTACCGTATGCCCGACAATACTATTCCACTGCAAGTTTGCTGTTCAGATGGTGTTGTTAGGGTTTTCTGCAACATCCTTGAGTGAAATATGCTTTTGTAGCATCGTTGCATAGGCTTGTCTAAAGAGGTCTGGAAAGGTAATGTCTCGATAATAGGAGCACTTCCTATGGTCTCCCCCTGCCATTTCCGAACTTCAGTCCAATAATGTCTTCCAGTAGCCACTGCAGTTTGATACGCACGTTTCAGCCACAATATACTGTGTTTGCCTAATGTTTTAAGGTGAATTTCAAAGTGAATTTCATCGATTCCAGCAGTCTTGCAACTTTTCCACTTTTTCGCAGCTTCTATCGCTTCTGCTACAGATAGAATAAATGTTCGTTCTCTGTTGCTCTTCAACCTAGTCCTGCAATGCTTGCTTAAGGGAATTCCTGAAAAGACCTTACCTATCGCCGATGTATGTCTTCTTCACCGCTGCAAGCACATACAGACGTTCGCTTTCAGGAACTTAGACTACATTTCTTTTCATCTCGAAGAACGCATACTTTTCCACGAATTAGCTTTCGCTTTGGTGACTGCTCTCGCTGCCACTTTGCGTGCTTCTTCCTACTGCGTGTCAGTTAAAGGATCTTTGTGTTCATGCAATTTTTAATACAGCCCCTTTCTCGATGGCAGCCAAAGCTCGCGTGTCCATCAGGAAGTTCGCTTTTTGTTAGATGGGCGGTCGATCTGTTTTGAACCACAGCATTCTGGGCAGCATGGAGTCAGCCGTTTTTAATGATCTTCCATTCGATTTTCATATCAAGATTGTTCTCATATCTGCAGAAGTTTCACATTCAATTCTCTAGGTGCGTCGCCGCCCGGTCTCTGCTTGAAACTCCATCATTTACACCAGAGTGTACCAGTAACAAGGTGAGGAACATTTGACAGCTCTCCATCTTTCATAACTGGAACAGAACATCATGAGTCAGATGATTCGAATATCAAATCGATGATTCGATGCTCGAAGAAGATGTTCATAACAGACAGTCCGTTGCTTATACAAAACTGCAACAATCTCATGTCGTTGTTGATGAGGTTGCTTTGACTGTTCTTTTTAGCCACGCTTTTCTACTATTGATTGGCTGCTCCGAAATGCGTATTGTAACCGCCCATTAAAATGATGGATTTAATAATATTCCGTTAGTATAGAGCACCTTCCGCGTCCTCGAGGAAGGACTCGTATTCTCCCTCAGATTAACCATTAGCTTGTAACTTCAACTGGATGATTTCCAGTGTTTTGCTGTCAGGTTTCCATTCAGTGATTCGTTAAGACACGTACAGTTCATCCAGTACATCAACTCGGATCTAAGTGATCACTGTAATGTAGATACCTGAGCAGAATTCGTTCCACCCGCAGAGGTTCAGAATTCCAGAGCCATAGTGCATTGTTGACGAGAGTCCAACCACGTCGTTTTGGTTTTCCTTAGAATCTCATTGACTACTTCGTAGTACTTCCCACTCGGTGAGAAGATTTCTTTTTTTTCACCTCAAGCTCCCAGTATGGGCATGTTACTCGTGGACCCATACCTGGCTTATTATAACAGTATTGCGCTGCCTGTGACCTCCGTTCAAAAAGGATAGTGGTTTCGCTGCTTACTGGTATTTCCGTCGTCATTTTGTCGATCTTGGGCAGCCGTCACCTTAATGGTACCACGAGCTGACAGAAGGCGAGAAGCAGGTTTTGAACGCCGAGTTTTCACAGCGTGCTCTAGTTCACGAACAGTCTTCGCAGCCCTTGATAGCTTGCGACGGTCGAGCCGGTAAAGTAATCGTCTACGGTATGAGGGGGCAGGAGGCCTCGGCGTTGTCTTGGTATCTCCACTTCATTTTCCTACGGGTTTTGGACCGGCAACACTGGAGTTTGACTGAAACTGCCCACAGTACTTGTTACTGCATGTTGACTGCCTTCTGAAGAACTAAATATGGAATAAGGTAGTGGCTTCAACTTTAATTTCGTAAATAATTTAATGAAATAAAAACAATGTCTGCTTGATTTATAGTTGAAATAGAGGGATTAACAAATGCTCATTCACAATTCCAAGTACATTAAAAAATTGTTCATAAAGTCTGAGTTAAAACAGTTGTCCCATTATGCTTGTAATTTGGGAAGACACGCGACGAGCGCTACAGCTGTTCATTCATTCTGTAAGGATCATCACTGTCACTTATTTGTCTTAATGAAGGATATATATTCTTGTGTATGATTGTACTAAGTGTAGTATCAGAGGACGTATTAGCTTTGATTTATTTACGTTGTCACGTCGATTTGAGTTTAAAATTAATTATGTTACTTTACATTTTTAGTATGCTCTGGGGAAAGAAGTGATAAGACTGGCTCTTGAAGAGCTGCTCACTTAAATAATAGACCATATTCACATAGATTTGATAAGCGAATACACGCTTCTCCTTGTCACTAGACGATAGGTGGGTTACTTGGAATAAATGTTGACTCTCGATATTACCGTTAGCGGAGGTTTTTTTGTTTTGTGTTTCTCGAATTTCCTAGAGCTTTGTACGGTTTTAATATGATAACCTACGCGACTTCGACTCTTCTCTCATTTCACTCACTAATTCCATCCAGGCATTATTACGGAGCATTTTTAGTCCATCTGCGAACGCTCGAAATTGCAAAGCAGATAACGTTCCTACGAAGCAATTCCAAAGGACCTTGGAAAACCTGCGAATCTGGAAAAAGTTGGCTGAAGAAGAGTTCGGTCGACAAATTCTCATTTCTGTTCATTTTTTCTCATAATTCTCGCTCTCTTACGAAGAAATCTGCTGAAATAAGATTCCTTCATGGTCACAAATTATCAAAATCATGTGCAACTCTATGTGGAGAAGTTTAAACTTTTGAAGTTATCGACAGCCAGTTTACGCATTTACCAGGATTCACTAAATTTTGCCATGATCGAATCGCTGCTTGTAGTAATGTCCTTATCATATGGATCAGTTAAGCCTCTTGTGCGAATTCCTCGAGTGATTTTCTCACGAGTTCAGCTGTCGGCTAAATAACAAGCTGGACGGTATTTTCCTGAACGAAGGCAATCATTATCATGTGCGACAACTAGCCCGGTTGTCTGATCCATTGCATAATTTTTGCCAACTAATAGATCTCTCCCAAGTTGGCAAGGCTTCTCTCTGCTTTCCTCACGGCTTGCTACGATATTCTCGTCATGAATGAGTGTGCATTTAAATTTTAAAACAACCGACTAATTAGTCCTCGAAGAGTCTAACATCAGTCGGTTGATGCGATCAGTTCCCATATCACCTTTGTACACAGTAACCGTTGTAATTTTGGAAAAGAATTATCAGTTAACGGCGTATCTCCGAGATTTCTCAATCATCATCACCGAAAGATAAAAGGCTCTACAACGAATATTACTTTGTTGCATGTCATCATCTACAACTGCTAACCAAAACTGAAATCAACAGTTATGACGAAGGTGTGGTGTACCGCTTCTTACACAGTCCCACGGCAAGCAGCTTTGATTAGACATTAAACAATTGTGCAGCTATAAATTGTCAACCTTTTATCCATCGGTCAATTTAGAGGCACTCAATAACATTTGAAGGTTGCTTCAGTCTTTGAGTTATCGTAAAAAAGCTAAAAAAGACGTCCTGCAAGCTTACCGACGGTTGGGCATTGGCATTGTCTTTAGCATCAACCATCCTCTTCATCCGGCGCTGTTGTCTTATATATCCCTCCATTCTGGTACAATGTCAAGAACTGCCATTATTTGCTGTCAGACAGAACTGAAATAAAATTAAGCTGTTCCCCCTTTTTTTCGTGTTCCTGAAGGACCCATCGATGCAAAATGATAGATGGTGCAAACCCCTACTTAATTTAATTATCGTTTAACACACATTTACGCTTTTCGCTTTTCTGCTTCTCCGTGTATTATTTGTGCTGAAAAATATGGAGATATGCTGTATATCTAAATTGTAAAATACAATACAATAGATATTTGGTGCCTGGCTGTGTTGTTCTACAGTAACTGACAGAAACATTGTGAATCTCAGGTTATTACAGAAAAGTGTTTCTTACCGATCGGTAGCTACCGACTGACGGAAGTTTTGAAACTGTTTTGCAAGATGCACTTAGTTTGAGGGTCGTGGCGGCAGCTGAACAAGATAATTAAGTGGCAACGAACGTGTCGCGCTAATCACCGTAGTGGTCGTCGTCTGGCCGTTGGCCCGTTATGAACTCGTTCGACGATGAATGAACGTAAAGATTCAAAGGTAAGCGTTATACTTCGACTTCGAACAACTAACATGGATGCCCGGACGGCTTTGGCGCCCTGCTTGAAAAGCAAAGGCTTTTCTCTTGCTTGAGGCTTGGTTTCTCTCCTGTCCCTATTACCAGTCTGAAGGAACGTTGATGTGTTCGCGCTTTCCACCAACGCGCTGTTTCAAAGTCTTGCTCTGTTTCATTTTGCTTACTGTTGCTTGAATCGTGTAGTGAAAATGTTTTTTCAGAAAACAATGCAAAGTCTACTATGTTAAATAACTGGCATGTTTTTATGCAATTTTTCGTCGAAGAATTGGTTATCTCTGCTCCGGCACACATCTTACTCGCCTGTAACTCAGACATTCAACACCACTTGACCATGTTCACTGTTAAACAGTTAAATTCTTGAATCGTAATTTTTATGCAGGTATTTCTCATCAGTGTTCTGCAGTTAATAATTTCTTGATTTTCCCTTCTGCGTGAATCTTGAAAATTTGAATTCTGAAAACTTTCAGATTTCACACAATGTGATAACAGCAGTTTGATAATTGCAGGAAACCGATTGACGTATGGCTGAACAGAATAGTACAGATCTGCTATTACGTTTATTTTGTTCTGTAGGCGATTGTTTGATAATCTGCAGTGAAAGGTCT